TCAGATTATCAGGTAAATCCCCAATTTTAACCTCTTGAGCCGACTTTGCATCTTTAGCACAGATCAAATCCATTCAGGAGTGAAGGTTTTCAGCTTTGTATCTTCATAGACTTTTTGTTCTTAACTCCAAAACGTTCCCATGATGATGGTTTGGGAAAAGCTGTATGATGCAACTTCTGTGATAGTCATTGGTACCAGGGATCAGAAACAGACTTTTCTGTTCAGGTGGTGGATTAATGTAATCTTGTAAGTCGGACTCCACGGTGGATGCTGTTGTAATCCCTTGTTTAAAGGTGACCCTGCTGCTGGGACACTCTTGTCAGCATGTGCTCTTTAGGCACGCTGAAGGGATTTGCTTCAGCTCATACATCATAAACCAACATGTGCAGCTTTTAATTTGATTGACTGCTTGTGATAATGAAATGTGGAACTGCATGAAGGGTGTAACACTCACCTGCTTGTTGGTAGATGTAAGTTTTGGAAGTAAGTGGCCAGCTGGAGATTCAGCAACCTGTGATTCTAGAAGGACATTTTGTATCTTGGGTGGAAGTAAGTAATTTTTCATTTCCCCCCCCCCCCCCTTGGATTTGCTAATACTGTCTCAAACAGCTGCTTCCTTGGTAGTGCAGGGGTTTGGAGGAGCTTCCCATGCCACCAGGGATTTTGGAGTTTCCAAGTCAAGGAGGTGGGGCACCCTTGCAAGAGGAGGCCTGCTTGGATTCTCTCACAGCTTCAATTCTTTTGAGGAAAAATTTTCTTCCAGAAAATGTCAGTGTGTCATAAAAATATAGTGCTGGCGCTGCAGAAGGGGGTAGCAATGAAAACTGATGGATTGATCAGCATCCCTGTTAAACTGGGAGCTGTTCCAGCCATGAGGGAGCTGCTAGCAGGCTTGGGAAAACCATGTTTCTCAGACCTGCCAGTAGGATGTCGCACAACTTACTCCCTCCAGTGGAAATTTAAATTCTACAGAAATTAGTTGCCTAGAGGCCTTTCATCTTCAAGGAAGTTTTCTTGTTGCCTTAGTGGTTTTTTTTCCCATGCTTGATGAAGAACATCAGCGAAGGAGGTGTATAACTGGTGAGAACCAAAGGGAGTGCCACTCGGATTTGGCTTTGGAGGCGGGATCAGTGAGCTCTTCCTCCCACTGCGGGTGCTTGAAGATGATGCAATTCTTCCCCAGAGCACACCAACCCTGGGATTTTTGCATAGAGCAGAGTAACATGTTTGGCAAAGGTTGGGGACTTTGCATCTTCAAATTAAAATTGAAATAGCCATAAGGGGAAGTTGTGTGAGAGAGACTGGGGTTCCCAGGCTGGAAGGAAAAGGATGCCCTTAGGGACTCAGGATGCAGTGGGAACTCCACATACAGCAGGAGTACTGAAGAGGACCTCACCTCTCTGCTCCAAGATCTGATGGTACTGATGTCCCAAGTGCTGGGTGCCTGGTCAGAGGAGTGAGACTTCTGGGGACGGATGGGATGCAGCCAAGACAACATGCAAAATAAACTCAGAACAGGTAGAAGGAAGCCTCAAGGCAATTCTTTCTGTTTTTCTATAGCAGTTTAAGCCCTTGTCAGCATTACCAGAATGTGCAGTGATCAGCAGAGGGCTTTATGCAAAGAAAAGGCAGCTGGTCAGGCTGACTTACTCAGGTCGCTGTGATCTCTGTTATAATTGTTCCCTATGTGATTATTTTGAGGGTTGAGCAACTGAGAGCTGCAGAAGAGACATGCAGCTTTATTTCTGCAATGTATGAAATGTTCTGTGTTCGTTTCAAAAATGCTCATTGCTCTTTCTGTCTTAAAAAATGAAATAAAATTCTGGAAGGCTGCAGGAATTTTTGTGAAGTCTAACTTTAAATGGTCACCTTTCCTTTTATCGCCCTTATCAGTGCATAGAGCTCGGTATGTGAGTTTTTTAGCTGACATTTCAAATCGCTCTGAGGGTGCCTGAATCTCTTTTAAAGCAGCCTCCCCTCTCAGATCAGAAGTGACCAGGTTTTTTTGTTAGACTCCATGTTCCTTTAATGTTTTCCTCCTAATAGATGTTGAAAGTGTTCTTCAGAGGCACAGCACAAAACATTCAAATAGCGATACGAGCCAGCTGAAGAGAGTTGTCAGGGAGGGAGAACATTAGGAGAAGGATTGAATACAGATGGATTCCTCAAAAGTAATGGAACCTGTTATGATTGCTTTGAAATCCTATACCCTTTCCATCTCCTTACGCTTACCAAAAGTTTACATTTGCATTGATGTATTAGAGGCAGAGCTAAAATTGAAGTAATCCCTGTTGTATACATGCTTAAGTGTGTAATTTTAGTTAAATACAACAGTTGTGACCAAATCTGCATCCTCAGTGAGAAGACCACAGCTGGGGAGTGTTGTGGGAGAGCCCAACCATCCCAACTCCTCCAGAGGTGCCAGGCACGTCCCAGGACCCATCTGCTGACTCTTGGTTCCTTCAGCCATCACAGTTTCACACCCAACGACCTCTTCAGGTGCTCTCTGCTGCTCTGTCTTTATATCAGCAGATACAAAGGAGAAATGGATTGCCCTGTGCATTTTATTCTGTATATCTGAGTGCTTTCTTAGTATACTGCTCGAATAATCCATGCCTCTTCCAGAGAGTCCTGGCAAAAGGTCCACTAGAAGTTGGTGCTATATTTTAATTGGGTTGTCCAAAAATCATCTTTCTCTTTGCCCTCAGGGAAGGCCTGAGCTATCCATCATTCCTGCCTCAATTTAAGAGGTTGTCTCAGGCTCCATCACACCGCTGTCATGTTGGATTTGACAGGAGGTTTGCACTGCACAGCGCTCCTTTAATGTTCAGAACTGACCGTTCTGCACAGGGAGAACAGCTGAAGGGGGCTGGTAAGGTTTTCACTTATTATCCCTTGCTTTTTAGGGTGAACTTGTTCAAATTATTTCCAGTACTTGCCCGAGAAAGCTGTTCTGAAATCTCATGGAATGTAGAAAGGAGTTTGCTCTCATCTGCAGCAACTGGCAGAAAGTTTACATGCTAGAAGGTGTCTGTGACCATCCCAAGGCATCCCTGTGCTCAGCCCCAACTGACTCTGTATTGTACCTGTGCATGGAGAAACCTCACAAGACTCCCTTCTCTTTGGCCCTTTTCATGGCCAAACAGCCATGAAAAGCCTCAGCTGGTTCAGTTTTAAATGCCCTTTGCACCATTCTGCAGCTATGCCAAGTTTAATCATCCAAGGAGAAATAACTTGGAGTTTTGGTTGGTTTGTGGCACACAGAATAGTTTTCTTTTTCTGAGAGTAGGAGAGTAATCTGTTTCTAACCAACCCCATAATGGACCTGAAACAATATGATTTTTCCTAGTGACCAGTGAATATGCAGGACCCCTTGAATTACAAGGAAAATAGGTTGTGTGCTGACCACCCAACAGGCAGGTGAATAGGAGCCGGGTGAACAATGCATTAGCTGAAGGCTGTAACCCTGTCCAGTTCTGATTTTAAAATACTTTGGTAATGCTTCCATCCTGGTGCACTATGTGCCATACTTCAGATAACAGCATCCAAAAGCCTCTGCCTTAAATGGGTTCTCTGCCAGTCCCAGTTTGTGCATTGCCTGTCCTGTGTTTATAATCCATACAGACATACACAAACTGCCAGCTTTACCCTTTGCTGGTGCCTTCCTCACCTCTGCTCCCTCCATCTGTGTGTTTCTCATGGCTTTCCTTGTCTTGTCTAAATGTAAACTCATTGGGGCAGGGGCTGCTTTCTGTTGTCTGTAGGACTTTAACCACTGCAGTAGAACCAGAATCATTTTTCTTGGCAGAACAGGGATGTGTCTTCCATGGAGATGTTTGCACAGGACCCATTGCAAATCACATCCACCAGGTGCCAGTTACTAAGTTACTAAATAAAGAATGATGCTGATGAGCTTTATGATCTGAACTGAAACAGGAGGACTCTGATTTTCAGAGCCTGGAAAACCCAAGCTTTCATCAGCATCAAGGTATCTTAAAAATGCTGCTCTTCATGCAGAGGGGCAGGCAGGGAAAGCAGGGAATTAAGTGCTCTGTGGTTTATGTGAACATTTCAGCTTGTTCCTTCTTAGGGCACATTACAAAATGACTTGTAGGAGAACAAGATGCCTGCATGGCCTATCTGTCCTGCAGGGTGGCAGAGCTGGAGGCACATTGGCAGCAGTAGCTTTTATATGCTGGTGGCAGAGTCAGCATGATGGAATTCTTGCCTGCTTGGTTCACAGGGTGCTTCACCATCAGGTCTCTGCCTGAGCAAGGAACTCATTTCCCAGACTAGCTCATGCAGGCAGCCTCTCGTCCTGATCTTTTGGTGAGGAGAATGAGGCTGGCCTGCATGTGTACTTGAATAACAAGGCATGGGTTGTGTACAAACCAGTCTTCATGGATCCCTGAGCAGACTGTCCACTGGAAAAGCTGGTGTGATTATGGGGTCCTTCCTGGTGGAATTTGCAGGTGTCCGATGTACCTCAGCGCAACAGTGGAGGTCGGCTTTAGGTACTGTGCTATGAGCAACAGCTGTTTGTTCACCTCCTTCCCTCTACAAATGTGTTGGAGAGATGTTAAAGTAAGCATAGAATGGGTGAGCTCTGCTACACATTCCTGTCTGTTGGAAGAGCAGAAGCCTATTTTGACTAAGAAAAGGTATTTGTCTAGGTATTGCTTTTAGATGCTCATAGAGTGACAGTGCTGAGCAGCTAGCCTACAGACTCCGTAAACCCTGGTGGAAACAGGACTTCTTCCACACAGTCTCATTCCCTTCCTTATCTCTAACAGCATCATCTTCATTACTGCATTAATTCCCTTTTTCTTCCAGTTAGGAGTCAAATTGTTCATGATTCTATCAGTGCAGCATAGTGTGAACACAGCTCATTCTGTAGCCATTGTTGAGGCTGGGGCTCCAGGCAGAGTCCTTCTGCCTGGTGATGCAGAGCATGGTCAAAGTTGTGTCCTTCTAACTTGACTCTCATTTTTCCCTCACAGGCATGGGTCATGGAGAGAGCCTGTTAACCCCTACTATGTCAACACGGGCTATGCTTTGGCACCAGCCACCAGTGCCAACGACAGCGAGCAGCAGAGCATGTCCAGCGATGCCGACACCATGTCACTGACAGACAGCAGCGTGTAAGTAACCCCAGCCTGGGGGACAGCCATATATGTCCTCAACAGTGCTGCTCTTGGCTTGTTCTGGGAGAGAGGCATAGCTGGGATTGGGTGGAATGTCTGAATAGACCATGGTCAAGATCATTCTCACTTTCCTTTCAGTTACTTCATCACTGTGCAGGCTACTCAGCCTTGCCAGTCTTGTGAAAATTTGCAGCATAAAATACTTCTAAGTGATCTAAAGTAAACAGTGTTCAGTTGGAGTTTCTGCAATGTTTCTTAAGCCAAGTGCAAAAGTTGGTAATGTTGGATGACTTTGTAGTAGCTGATTTGAGATACATCATCTTCGGAGTGTTAGACAAAGCCTTCTACTTACCTGGGTGTTTCTCTTGAGATTTTATGCTGCCAAATTCTCAGAATCACAGAATGGATCAGGTTGGAAGAGACCACAGTGGGTTATTTGGTCCAACCTCCCTTCTCAAGCAGGGTCATCTTAGAGCAGATTTCACAGAATTGTGTCCAGATGGTTCTGAAATATCTCCAGTGAGGGAGACTCCACAGCCTCTCTGGACAATCTGTTCCAGTGTTCAGTCACTGCAGAGAGAAGAAATTATTCCTCGTGTTCAGGTGGAACTTCCTGGGCATCACTTTCTGCCCATTGCCTCTTGTCCTGTTGCTGGGCACCACAGAGCACAGCCTGGTCCATCCTCTGAAACCTCTCTGCAGATGATGGCCATTGATGAGGTCCCTTCTCAGCCACCTCTTCTTGAGGTTAAACAGGCCCAGTTCCCTCAGCCTGTCCTCATTAGAGATACCCCAGTCCCTTTGTTGTCCTTCATTGGACTCACTCCAGGAGCCCTGTGTCTCTTGTCCTGAGGAGCTCAGACAGCACAGCAGATGGGCTAACAGCTCAGTCTGTGATGGCTCTGCAGTAGGATTGGTGACTGACCAGTTCTAGTTTGTTTGGTGACCACTGCACTTTAACACAACTTGTGCTGCTAAGCCCCAGCCAGATGGATTTTCCCTTTCTGTCTCTGATAGCAGCACCCTGTATCTCACCCATGAGATGCCTTCCTTAAAGATGGTCTGTGAAGAAAGAAAAAAGGGTTATGAGATATTGTTTTGACTTCATCCCTGTGATAGAAAAAAAAAGGATTTGGTGAAAAATATTCACTGTTTGGTCTGGTTTTTAGTAGTGCAAATGCAAAGTGTCTTTCTGTAGAGTGGAAACCCTTTGATTCTTCAAGCGAGAGATGACAGGTTTACAGAATTAGGAGATTTTATTAATGGCAGTGCTGTAAACACAGAGTCCTCCAAGAGGCTTGTTTAGTGTCACTGTGAGTGTCAGGAGCTGTCAGACCTTGTTGAAGAAACTTTGCAGCCTGTGCCATGGATGCTGTTAACGGGTGCTGCCACAGCTCCCCACCTGCCCGGAGTTCATGCAGTGACACAGGGGAGTGTCCAACATGGCCAGGGGGGTTTCTCTGTCTGTGGTGGTCACCCTGCCTGAGCCAGGAGCTTGCTCATCTCTGGCTCCACGGAGGCTTGGGACCATGTAGAAGCAGCTGTGAGTTCATTCTGCACCCTGACACCAGCTCCTCATGCATTATCCACGTCATGTTGTGAAATGGAGGAGGCAGACCTTGGCCAAAGGGGCCTGGGAGGAGGAGGATGCCCTCAGGACAGAACTCTGTAGATGACCACTAATTAAAGGCTCCATTTGATACAAATCCAGCTGCTCTGCCACATCCTTCTGCAATTCTTCATATTCATCAATTTATATGGAGGAGTGCTCTGAAGCAAGCAGGAGTCATGTAACTTTTTGTTATCAGGAGAGACAGATGTAAGAACTCTTCAAAATTAATTAGCTTTTAGCACTTCCTCTCCCACTGGTCCAGCAGGCTCATGGGGCTGCACTGATGGTTATACCTGTGATAAGTTGTGATCATTTATGCCAGGGTTCTTCACACTCCTAATTTTTATTTCACTAGCCACAGTTCGTTTTTTTCACAGGCAGAATAATTTCTTACTGGCCATCCTATGCTTCTTTCTCTTTTAGGCATTTTAACCCTCCTATGCCCACCATAGGCTGCTTCTAGGACTTTAATTACCACCAATATGTGCACTGCCTTCTGCTAATAACTAACCCAATCCTAGTGGTTCATTTTTAGTAAGTTTTAAACTTCATAAGGGTGAACCTTTCTTTCTATGCCTCTCAAACTGGATGCATGCAGAATCCAAAATTGGGATTCTGGATGTACATCCTTGACCTTTGGCTTACACAGACTCTGTCTGTTTTCAGCACTTGCTCTTCATTACATGCTTTAAAACTCCAGCACCAGATTTTACTCAGATTCTACATGGTACTGCTGAACCTATCTGCCTCCCGAGTTTCAAAGGAATTTTTGCAGAATTGCTCAAGGCAGCAAAAATGAAGAACAACCAGATGAAGTTAAAGAAGGGACTCCTGCTGTTTGACAAGACTTACATGTCTCAGTGCTTTGAATTTAGGCCTCCTCTGAGGAAAATGGCAATAAAAGCTTCGTTTGCTGATGAGCTAGGTTCTTCCCTCTGTGTGCTGTTTACACACAGCAGTCACGCTCAATAATGAGGAAACCTGGCTTCTGCTCCAAGGCAGCAGGTGTACAGGGTGTGATTCAAGGCACAAACCTCCATCAGACCCTCCATCAGAGGAACATGTGTCTGGACAATTGGGATGCAAACACTGGCTAACTGAGGAGTGCTAATAAACCAGGAGAGCAAAGCATGAACTTCAGTGCTGGCCAGCTCAGGCCAGTGGAGAAGGCAGGCACAGACCATTTGCTGAATCAGTTTCCTTCCAAGCTTTGATGTTGGATTGATCCCAGCAACATGGGGTTTGGAAGTAGCTGCATGCAAAGACTCTAGCAAAGATCTGAGTGATGCTCTGTCTGTCTCAGCTCCTGAGCTGGAGTGATTTTTTGGGAGTAGCCAGCTTACCAAACAGGTTGTAAAACTGTGATGTTACAAGCACACTTACCTAAAAGGCCAGCTTTCAACAGGATGTCTTTCCAAGCACTGGTAAATATTATTTTAATGGGTGAATTTATATAACAAGTATGTTATCAGTCCCTGTTGTTAGTGTAATTTGCTTTTTGAGTGGCTTAAAAAACATTGCTCTTAAATGCCTGCACTCCACTGATTATTTTTCAGTCTTCCTGTGTCATAGGAATTCCTCTGCCCTTGTAGGCAAAATAGCTCTGGTCCTCTCTGCTGAAAGCTGTTTTTATAATCAGCAGGGCAGCTGTGTTGTTTTAGCTGGTTTGTGTGGAGGCAAGGTCTGGGGAGGACACAGTGAGAGGCTCCAGCCAGCGCTGGCCCAGCAATGCCGCGGCCACAGGTGGGGCTGAGTCGCTCACCGCTGATGTTCTGTGCAGGGTCAGTGGTAAGTCAGGGATCTGGGGCTCTGCCTGCCCCGTGGGCTGCTCAGAGCCTGCCCCAGACTTGCAGCAGCATTTCCAGCACAGCTCTAAACTGCTCTTGCTGTCTCAGATAGCCCTTCTTGGGGATAGCATCTTCCCAAGTGGAGGAGGTGAGTCTGTGGGTGGAAGGGGTTGTCACAACAGAGATGCTTGAGGCAAGTTAAGGCAACTGGAGGTAGGAAGGCAGCAGGCAGCAGCTGAAACCATTAAATCTCCATGTGATATTCCAATTCAGATGCAGAAAACACATTAGGTCCATATCAATCTTGATTTCTTCAAGAGCTTACATCTTAAACAGGAGATAACGTCTCCTCTTTAGCCCAGTGTTGTGCTCCATCTGAACAATACTCCTTCCTCTGCTCTTATCAGGTGTCCTGGCTTATCTTAGTTGGGAGACAGCTTTGCCTTCCCCCAGGCACTTGGGAAGAAACCCTCGGTGCCCTTGGGCTTGGCCAGAGGGATGCTCCTTCTCCCCCAGTTCCAGTCAAACCTGCTCCAGAGTAGGGATGGCGAATCCCCTGAACAGAGGGGTTTAGGACAGTGGTCATTCCTTCAAAAAGTCTTGCAGATTAAATGCTATTCCTTGGATGACTGCCCCTTAACCAAAATGCCTGGTGATTTTCCTATCATGCTTCTTTACGTGAGAAAAGTGTCTTGTGACAGAGGTGCTTTGATAAGAGTAATTGGTAGAAAATACCAGTTTGGCTGTGTATTTGTTTCCTGTCTTTCCCAAGGCTAGTGATCCAAAATTACCCCAAGTTTTCCTATATTTAAACAAGTTTAGCAGCTTTTTAATTTAAAAGATCCCAATGATGATTTCCAAAGCAAACTTCCAAAGCCCATTTGGGTTTGAAGCCCATCTACAGAGGGGCAAAGACACCTTTTGCAGAACCACAGCCAAACCACTGCTCACCAGAGGCTGTTGCAGGTCACTTTGGGGAGGAGAGGAAGCCTCCACATTTCCCCAACAGTAAACTCATTGCATTATCATTAAATAAACAATAGAAATACTCTTCTTCCCTTGTTGCTTTTCAGCGCTGAGCTTTCTGGTGCTAAAGAAAATCACATGACGAAACAAGGAAAAACAGTTTGGGAAAGTTTCATTTTAAAAGTAGATGTGCTGTAAAAAAACTTTAATTTTTTTTCATATATATATATATATATATATATATTATTTCTCTATCTATTGAAAATATCTCAAAGCAAGCTACCTGACAAAAGGAAAACAAAAGTATGGTATTGGTTTTCCTTGCTTTTCCCCCATCTATTGAATAAGGTTTTGTTGGGATAAAATTAAAGTGCTTATCTTTGAATTTGCTTCCTCTGGTTGAGTTGGCACAGTACATTGAACGAAGGAATGTTCCAAGTTCAGAGGTGGCATTGGGGAATCTAGTTAAAATGACATCAAAGGCAGCACAGCGGGGCTGAACATGTGTTTGAAGCCGGATAGATTAGAGGCCATTATCAGCCTTTCGCTACTGTGCTGGGAACAAAAGTCGCTCTTTCCGCTGGGACTGCTGCTGGGGAGAATTAAAAAAAAAAAAAAAAGAGAGAGAGAGAGAGAGAAAGAAAGGAAGAAAGAAAGAAAAATTGCACTTTCTAGCATAATGCCGCTTTCCCTGCGAATGGCCGTGTGGCTTTAGTGTGTGAGCTGTGTTCTGGCACCCGGGTTTTGTGCACTGGTTAAGCTGAAATGTTGACTATTGATGCCAACCAGCAATGGCTAAAATAATCCCCCAGGTTTTTTCTTTTTCCCTCTGAAAACGTGCAGTTGTTTTGTTACCATCCAGTCTAGAAAAGGCCGCAATGTGGTGAAACTCTTTAACCGTTGTGATTCTCATCATTAAAGAAAATTAAGTCACCTAATGAACACTGTCCTGATCCCTGTACAGCAACGTGGGGAAGTTTTCCTGCTCCCAAGCCTTGTCACTGCAGGCACAGCAGAGATGATGCTCCCAACACACTTTTCCTCCTCCTGCATTACCTGCAGCCACTTGCCAGAGCTGTAATTAGCCTGGCTCATTTTCTGTTCCCTCATTTGTCTTCCTGCTAAAAAGCGCTTGTCATTAACCATGGGGTTTGTTTTATTTTATTTTAATGGTGTTTCATTTTGTATGCCTGTGTTACTGCATGAAATTAGGTTCTTCTGATGTAGGTTGGTGGTGATTCTGTCCATACCCACATTTCCAGGGTGCCAGCAGGGCAGCCAGCATGATGGGAATGGGAATGAAAGCTGATGGTGGCCATCCTCACACAGGCTGGTGCTTGAAACTCGTTTTGAAACAAAAGTTTTGGTACTTTTTTCAGGTTTATCAGCAAAACATCACAGTAAATTGTGTTTCTTTTGCCAAATGGCACCTTGATTTTAAAAATCTGTGGGTGAAACTGTTTGGTTTATGTTCTGGAGAAGCAGCTGGGATGGGGGATAGGTGTTAAGAGCATTTGGCCTGTGCAAACATCTTGTGTTGTGAGATGTGTCAGGACTGGCTCGTTTTCACAGCTCAGAGGGGGTGCAGGGTTGTGCCTGGAAATGGTGTGGTGGCTGGGACAAACCAAATCCCTCCATTCATTTCCACCCACCTCTCATTGCATGGCCCTCCCAAGCAGTTAGCTCTACTGAATCAGGGAAAATTAAAAAGCTACAAATTGCCGAGCTCCAGGCTGGAATTTGTTTTTGCATTAGTTGATTTCCCCAAAATAACACAAAGCAGGTGGTTGTGTCCTTTCATAACTGGGCTCTGCTCACTCATCTTCTCCTTGTCCCTGGCTGTGAGCAGGGTGGTAGCAATGATAAGAATGAAAATGCATTTCCTTTCTTTGCCTGAAGTCACACTTAGGCAGTGATGCTTTGCCATTTGGGGTGCTTAGCAAACCTGGTGCCTCTGACCCACTGACCCCTGTGTCCCAAGGATTGTTGCCACCACTGTCTCCTTCCTCTGCAGAGACCTCTGTCACCACCTCTTTCAGCACAGGCACAAAGCCAAGAGGAGCTGGTTCACTTGGATGTGACTGCCCATGGCATCCCTTCCTAGCCTTGTCCAGCCTCCTCTGCAAAGGGGGCTGGTTCTTCCCTCCATCAGCTCCAGTATCAAGCCCATAATTTCAAACTTAGCCAAAGATTGCCTTGGGAGCATTCCCCTTGCTTTGATAAGCCATTTGAACAGCTGTCACACTCTCTTAAAAATATGTATCTTATTCCCTGACCGAGTTCCCCTTGGAGTAGATGCTCACTGAGCTCCCACTCCTCCTTCTCCCCCCTCTCTCAGCCTGCCCTGTGGTTTAATGTGTACATTACAGGCTCTTTATAGGAAGCAACCAACTATAAAAGGTACCAGGATGCAGTCCAAGTCCTTCTCCCTGGCCTCTGCCTTGAGCAGTAGTTGCAGGAGCTCTGCCTCACTGTGCTCCCAGTGGATGCTGTGTGAGTCCTCCTGGCCCCCATGCAAGGACTTTTTTGGTTCAGGGACCTGCATGAGCATCGTTCCTGCCTGGGTTCCTCTTACTCTGGGCATGCAAATGTGAAGGGGTTTCCTACCCCTCTGTGTCAGCAGGTTTGAATGAGCATAGCATGTCAGAGAAGGGCTCTAAAGCAGGGCATGTTGTTGTTTTATTCCGGCAGAGATGGGATCCCACCGTACAGACTCCGAAAGCAGCATCGCAGAGAGATGCAAGAAAGTGCCAAAGCAAATGGACGCGTGCCACTACCTCACATTCCTGTAAGTAGCACTGTCTCCTTCCCAGGGGTGAACATGCAAAATATGTGAGATCTCCAGCAGACAGTCGCTCTGCTTGTGCTTGAGTTTAATCCCCTTTAGTGCTGGATTCACTTGGGGGTGCTTTAAGACAACATACATTGTGCTAAGAAAAGGCATGGAGCCTTCTGCCAAACTCACCATTCAGAATTCAAAACACAGAATTTTTTGTAACTATTCAGTCAGTAGCTGATAGTTTCTCCTGGATGAGAATGGAAGCACTGGCTGGCATTTATCTGCAAGCAGCTCCATGCCCTCAGGTGAGCTGGAGGTGTTTGTGGAAGGTGTAGGAGGCTGTTGGACATGAAGGCTGATGCAGCTCTCAGCCAAGGTCAGTTGGGGAGAAGTGCAGTGGTCCCCAGCAGTATTTCTGCACTGAGCAACCAGAGGAGCTGTAGCCTTGAGTTATTCTCAAGGACTCAGCAAAGCTCACCTGGGGACACAAGGCAGGAGGAAAAAAAAGGTGCAGGAGTAAGTGTTTCATTTATCTGACACTGTCTCCTTGGTTGCTCCAGGTAAGCAAACAGCTTTTGGAAGATGAGCACAACTGCTAGGGCTCCACATCACCATCTGCAGCTCTGTTTATTATTGTTTTCTTTTTCTGAGAAGTTACAGGTGACATTTAATATCTAGTAGGGAATAAAGGTGTTTCTTTCCCCTTTGGACAGCTGGACTCCAGCACAAATTAAATAGGGAGAGAAAAAACCTCCATCTGTTTTTTCCAGAAGTGCCTTCAAACTTGACGCAGCTGTTCCCATCCTGCCTGCTCAAAGCAGCACAATACCAGCAGAAATACACCCTTGTTTTAATCTGATTTAAAAGAAAAAAAAAAATCCCCACACCAAAACCACCACTCTTTGTTTTGCCTTTTAAATTAGATTATTTTCCTTAGATTTAAGAGGGTCTCCTGTGCTTTGATCACTGGGTTGACAATAAAAGCCCTGGCTGCGGACGCTCATAGCCATCCTAGCTCAGTCACCTCTCTTTTCACACAGTTGCTTTCACAGTGTGGTTGCTGTTGAAAAGGCTGGCTGGGTGCCTTTTTATTTCACTTGATGCCGTTTTTACTGTAAGCATGGCTTTGTTAGAGTTGAAGTTTGAAAGCTTGGCCTTTATTTTTTGTTGTTATTGTTGTTGCTGTTCCCCAACAGTGGGAACTACTGGCTGAATATTCTCTGACTTCAAAGCTTGTCAGTGGCTTTACCTTTTGGATAAAAATAATAGTGGCTTTCTGTTGATGGTGTGCACTGGCAATGCCTCGATGAACTGCAGGTTATAAACCCAGAGTATGGAGCATTAAATATGTATAGTGAGCTCTATTTTAACGAACTTCCATCTGCCAAACATTTCTTTTGTTGAACTGAATAAGTGTCATTCCAGCAGCAGTTCCTTGCAGGCTAATTAGTTTTACTTAGCATTAAATTTTATCGACCTTTTTGGAAACCAGCTTTAAAAACAGGGTAAAAAACAAGGTTTAAATTGCCCACCTGCTGCTTATAAATTTTTATATTATCCTACTTACCTACACAGTCTTTTAGAATTACATATTCCTCCTAAACTACACACAGAGGCTTCACAAGGATTTTTTTGTGAAACATCCGCTGTTCCCATTAGGTTCTGCACTGTAATTTTAAGTCCTAGGGTAAAAGGCATCTTGACACATATTTATATGGGAGCCGAGGACTGAGAAGTTGAGTGAGTTCTAGTCTTTCTCCAGGGAATAAAAGTTTAGTTCAGACACTCTGGCACCTCCTGCCAACCAATTACTGACACAGAATTGGCATCGACTTCAGAGAGGCACTGCTCTGCCCTCGCTTATCAATCAGCCAAGAAAAGAGAAGGTAATTAGACAATGTGTTTTGACAACACCAGTGTGAAATGTTATAAAGTTACTCTTTAAAATTCAGCTCTAACTGCACACTCTTTGAATTAAACAGCCCAAATTAGCAAGGAGCCATGCAAATGTTGCTTCAAGTGTTGCTTTCTGAAGCCAGTGGTTGGGCTATCCCGCAGCCAATGGCTAAATCAGGCTGGACCTGAGGTTAGCTGCTTCCAAATGTGTGGCAGTGATGAAATCACAACCTTTGAGTGAAGGTCTTTATGGACTCCTATCTCCAGCATAGCCAGAGTCCATGCTGATAGTGCCTGCAGAATGCACAGCATGTTTTCCTACTGATAATAGGGAACCTCCTACTTCCGAAAGTCATTTCAGAAGTCCTTTACAGACCTTCCCATTCCCTGACAAATGAGTTATGGGGCTATTATGCAAAATTCTGAAAGGACTTATATTGTTTTTAATAGCAGCACTTGTTGTTAAGTCCAGAAGCTATAAACTGCAGTGATTATATGTTCAGAGGAGGCTGCCCGCTGGTCCCAGCAGCCCTGCTGCCTCCAAGTAGTGACGGCGTGTGCTAGCTATGTGGAACACCCTCCTCAGCAGCAGGACATGTGTGGATGGCTCTGATCTGCATCTTCCACACTTAGCAGCTCACATCTTCCACACTTAGGCAGTGAGCAGTGCTCTAAGTTTGGAAAAGTTGTGTTCTGTGAAGTGGCGCTCTGCCCAGGAATGCAGTGGGGGAGGATCTCCAGCAAGCAGGGAGACCTCTGGTTTGTGCCTCTGGCAGGAACACATTACACAGAGTGAGTGTTGCTTTCATGTGGTTTTCCAGCTCTCTCTTGGATTTGAGCAGAGTCTTGGAGCACCAAGGAAGGAAAGAGCAAGCAAGTTGCCAAATAAAGGGAGAAAGCCCAGAGCACACAGTGCTGTACCTGGCTCTGGCATTCATCCATTCCCAGGAGAGGATGGGAGATCCTCCTTTTCCACAGCAAACTCAGAAAAATCCAACCTCGAGAATTAGGACCTGGTGTTTGGTTGTTTAACTGCATAAAGAAGCCATTTTCTGATGTTCTTGCTGGAGCTTGATCATCAGGCGGGAGCTCTCCTGTCCTGCCCCGCAATCAAGGGTGCTGCAGGGTGGTTTCCGTGGTGTTCCAGAGTGGAGCAGGAGATTGTGAGTGACCACTCTGCTGTGCTGTAGGAGTGAGGAGCACAGGAGGAGCCTGGTCTCGTGCTGCCTGGATAACTGCAGCTAAATGAGCTTTCTGCTGCTGTGAGTTGGGAACCTGCTCGGAATTCCCATTGGCTGTTTTATGCCATTTTCCTCAAACACCTTGCTGCAGCAGGACTCCCTGCTAATCCCTGAATGCTGCTAAACTGGATGCTGAAATCCAGCTATCTCTGAGCTCTGCCACAAATGTTTCTGGTATGGAAACACCATTTATCTGTTAAAAATTTATGTCACAGAGGAATGCATTAATCTAAGAAACGTGGAGGTTCAGAAGTTCTTTTCTCTTGGCTTCTCTAGCCTGTCATCTTCCTTTCATTTCCAAGACTGACTTGTGATCTAACAACAGCCCCTCAGGCATCATGGAGGCATCAAACCTCTTGTAGAAGAGGGAGATTTACCAGCACAGAATTCTTTGGCCCAGTCACATCTGTCAGAAACAGTTCAGCCCAAACCACAGATCCCTGGAGCTGCTTAGGGAACCTCTACCCAGTGTAATGTTGAAAAACTTCCTGTTTCATCTTAGAGCAGTTGAGGCTGATGCCTCCCGAGGGGAACCTGCAAAGTGCAGTGAGATTCTTCTCTTTCAGCCTTTTCACATTTCGGATGCCGGTGTGTTTTGATGTGCAGCTTGGTTCTTAAAACTCTGTTTCTCAGGGAAGGTGAAATCTGTCAAAACCCAAGAGCTGCATCTGCCTCATGGAGCAAAATCCATGGAATTCCTGCTGCATCAGCTACAAGAAAAGAAGGGGGAAACGTGAGAGCAGCTGCCTGGTGGAACTACTGGAGAGCTTGTGTGTCTCACGTGTTCTCAGCTGGCTGCTTCTTCACAAAGGTGCCAGAGCTCCAGACATTTCATGTGTCAAGGACAATGTTCTAGTGATAGATACCCCAAGAAATCCTTCTTCAGAGCTGTCACAAGGAAAGACTGCTCCATCTAGACTAGTTTAAGCAATTTCTATTTTTCCCAATTCACTTGGCATTGAGCCTGCTGTCTGTTGTCCTCTGCAGCCTCTCCAACTCCACATGGTTTGGTTCTGGACAGACCTATCTAACTAGTGCCATTAAATAAAAGTAGATAGGTAATTAAATTAAGCATTAGATTCAACGGTACTTTAAAATTAAGCACTTCCTTTCTGAACTGTTGATGTAGAATGTCCAAAGACCCCATTGTGGTCCAGACTGAAGGGCTGGATCCTCAAAAACCAGCCAGTTCTTGGACCGTGCTGCACCCTTTACTTGGATCGAAAGCATTTGGAGCCCTTGTGATTTCAGAACAATAAGCAGCTTATTTACAACTCCCTTGGCAGGACTCTGGATGCCCATGGGAAGCTGGGGGCAGGTTCAAAATCCTGAAGCCCTGAAGGATCCTGCTTCGGGCACAGGCTCAGCCTGGCTGGTCTTTGGGGCGTATTTCCCCTGTCTCCCTTCTGAAGTCAGGCCCATCATTTGATAAAGGCTTCAAACACTTTGTTGTCTTAAGCCTTTTGAACCAGGTCAGTGCAATCCATGTTTGCTGTCTAGGGAGGCAGAGAGAGCCCTCAGCAGTTATCTGTATTGTTTCAGCACAGGGAATTTGCATTCATTATACTGCAATACTATTAGTTTTGGGGAAGTCTGTGTAGACTGTTCCTTCTTTTTGAGCTAGGAATAAAGTCAGACCCATTGTGATGTTCAGAGCATCATCCTGCTCACCAGCTCCTGAGTTAGCCTTACAGGTACCCACCAGGACAGCATAGGGCATGTGCAACTGGTATCCATGGGGTGAAGTGAGGTTTGTTTCAGTTGCAGTGGTCTTGGATGCTCAGGGGGACCCTTGCAGAGGAGGCTGCATCTCTCCTCAGGCAGGCTGCTGAGACCCTCTGCAAGCTGTTGGGCTGTTGAAGCTCCAAGGACAGGGCAGTGGGTTTTGCAGGTGTAACACTTTGGCAAAGAGAGAAGAAAACAATTCATTCTAAAGAGTCTTGGCTTCAGTTATTGTAATTTCTGTAGTTGAGCTTCAGTCACCTCCAGACTTTGGGAGACTGTGGATAAACGTGCTGAGGTATTAGTTGTAAAAGACTCAGAATCATCATCTTTTGAGTTCCCTGGGTACAGCAGTGATTCCAAATATCTTCAGATCTTCGGCATTGCTGGGTCTGCAAGGAACCAGCTCATTGTGACAGGACTCGGACACTCAGGTTAGCAAACTTCAGCCCTTTCAACCACTGCTACCACAGGTTCAAGAGAGACCTTGGTTTGGGATGCTGCCCTGCATCAAAGGCTAGGAAAACAAAGGGTAATTCTTTCTGTGTTTTTCTGTGGTAGCTGCACCAGTGAGAGCCAAGACCATAAGTGCTGAGCTCCAAGCTGCCTCTTATTAGGCTCATTAAGTGTCTAACGGAGCAGGGCTTGGTGCCACCATCTATAAACAACCGCAGGGAGAGTTGGCATCCTGAGGTGGCAGGAGGGAGGGAACACGTCACCCAGCAGGTTGGGACTTGTCAGGCAAGGGAGAGAATTCCCTCCTTGGGAATCACTTGTGTGGCCTCACAAGGAAGGATGGTGGTGATGGTCATGGGGTTGGTGAGGGAAGCAGGATCCCTTAGCCAGAAGTGCTTCCCAGAGCTATGCAGGGGAACAGGGAGACATCCTGAGAAGCTCCTCATGAAGTAACAGAACAAGAACCAGCTCTGCCACATCTTCCCCTGTGCTGGAGCACATCTGGAGCCCATTTCTGGACTAAACAAAGGTGAAAGGTGCTACTTTGGCCCCTCTGCCAGTATTACAAGACTGAACATTGTTTTTGTTGATAAAAACCTTTTTTTGCAGTTTAGCTTTTTGTGATACAGTCCATTGGTTTGCAGGGCTGGAGGTCCTGGTGGCACTAAAGATGTCATCCCAGGGTGGTGACATCACCTCCCACATGTTGTGCTCTCTCCAGGGGCTGTAAGGATGAAGGGAATCGTTGGTTGGGGCTCAGATGGATCACTGGGATTGAGATTTGCTGGCAGGCTCAGGAAGACTCATCCCTCTTGGCAAATGAAACAAGCAGTGCTTTAACTGGGACCTCTGCAACCCAACTGGGGTGTCATGAAAGAGTCTTCAGCTGCTCAGTGCCATCAGTGGGTTCTTACTGCCTCTGGTTTTCTTCCCTGCCTTCCAGCTGGCAGAGACAGAAAAGCCAATGAGATTTGCATACTTTTGTCAGGTTTTGAGGCAAAGCAGCATTTTAGTGTTCTGCTTTGATCTTCTGGCTGGCCTGGGATAAATTCGGGTGGTCTCTCATCCTCCTTTAAAGTTTTCAAGCTCAGTGTCTGCTTCTGATGCTGTATTTGTTCTTTTGCTATGAATTATCTCACATCTTCACATTTAATTTTGTCTCTGGTCCTATAGAGTGTATATTTCTCTCATGTTAGTATTGAAATATTTGAATGCAGAGTTTTATGCTGTTGAATTTCCAACTATTTTTTCTCCAAATTAAATTTTTATCTCTGATGCTTCATTTTACTTTTTCTACTATTTAAAAAAAAATAATATAGAAAGGATAAAAATGAGGGGGAAAATGCAGCAGCTGATAACTTCATACTTCACAAACTTCTTATCCCAGAACCCAAGAATTTAGGGATGAAGTAACTCAGCATAAGGAATCAAGAATGTCCTTGAACTGCCATAAATATTCATTTATTCACCCAGAGCAGGCAGAAAAATGGCACCTCTGTGCTTGTAAGAGTGCTGTATTGATAAAGCAAGCAGGGAGTCATTGCACAGCTCTGAAAAGCTGAGATGCAATCCCGTAGGATCCTCCAGCAAGAGAGGATGCCTTGTGGGAATTGGGACCTTGGGCTGTGGGCTAGATTTGCAGAGATGGACTGGCACACACTGATCCTCTTGGGATAAGCTGAGTAGGTGTGCACCAGAACCCTCCCTTCTACCAAAATGAAAGCATAACTGCTATAAACAGGAGGTTTGAGAGGTGGAAAGGTCTGTACATCCTTTTTCCACCCTTTGAGACCGGGATATTCCTGTTGACCATATGTCCACTGGGAAAAAAGCAAGCACTTCCATCAGAGAGTGGAATTTGGTGCCAAAAGAGCTTTTTGAACTCCAGAAAACGTTTCCCTTAGATGAGGTGGTGTGTGGAGCTGGTACCAGCTGAGGAACTCCTGGAGGTGGTGGCTCAGCTTCCAGCCCCCAGGTCCTGAGCTGCACCTGAGTGCCTGCCAGCCTGTCCTCCCCCAGCTCCCACCGGAGCGACCGGCATTTCCAGTTATCAAAGGCTCCCAGAGAGAGAAACGTGGGATTTTTCATTCATCCTTTGCTAAGCCATGCTGTGTTCTCCCTGCAGCGTACCTACCGAATGCCAAAGGATATCCACGTGGAACCAGAGAAGTTTGCTGCAGAGCTGATCAACCGTTTGGAGGAAGTACAGAAGGAACGTGAAGCAGAGGAGAAGTTAGAGGAGCGCCTTAAACGCGTTCGAGCGGTCAGTGATCTTCTCATCTCCTCTGGCAGCCTGGCACTCTGCTTACCCTGTACCACAGGGAGCTTTCAGCTGCTGTGGAAGCAGCTGGGGTGGTCAGTTCCCTGCTTCACTGCAGTGGTCATCAGTGGCACAGGGATACTGGAGGCTCCTGTAGCCCCCACAGCTTCCACGATGCTGTTCCCCCATCCATGCAGGGCTCTGTGAGATCCAATGCACCCTCGCTGTGTAAAACACCAGCCATGGCACAGCAGTGCCCACTTCTGCCATCACTCAGGGGCTGTGGATACTCTGCATCTTTGGCACCCTGGCTCTCAGGAGTTTGTGAGCAATCCCTGGGGCCTGTCTAAGAGGGGTCCTTCCCATGGGAGGTTTTGTGTGATCCCTGTTTCCCCCACAAACAGTAACCAGATAACAGGTGATGTTGTGCTTGGGGGTGTTTGTGTCTGCTATCAGGCCATTTCCAGCACAACCAAAAGGGTTCTGCCCATCAGAGCCTAGCATACCCTAGAAATTTTGGAAGTGGTCGGGTGTGGCATTGAAAAGCTCTCCTGTGCAGATAAACACACTGACTCCCCTGGGATACCTAACCAGTGGCACTGAGTGTTGTGAGCCCTTGTACTGCTGGGGCCCCAGAGCCTGAGGGTTTGTTAGATGAACCATGGGAAATGTGCTGCAAGGACTTTAGCTCCACAACAAGCTCCAAGAGTGGGAGAGTGAGGTCCTGGTCATCTGGTATTGCCTGTGTGGGACCCCTGTTCAGCAGTGTTCACACTATAGCTTTCTTCTGATACACTGCATCTCATGGGTACCTGCACATCTGGTGGTGAGGATAGAGAGATCCCAGAGGACAGCATGGTGTTACTGAACATCACTGGTTCAGTGTAGCTGCAGTCCTGTGTGCCAAAGTTTTGGGGTTCTGCAGTTACTAGCTGCTGTGACCCTGAGGTAAAGGCTTTGGGCTCTGTAACCTGCAGCCCTCCCTTAAAGCAGAGGTGTTGGTGCCTGGCTCAGCTGGCTCTGTGCTTTCAGGGAGGTTGAGCTTCTGGGGCTCCAGGAAAGAACCTTCAGCCCCATTGGAGTATTTTAAAATTCTCATGTAGTAGCTCTTCAAACAGGAAAAAGCTGTAGGTTGTATTGTTGGCTTTAAACTGCATTTGCATTTCAAATGCAGAGAACGGAGGAAGGCAGAAGGATCTGTAAGGTCCCATCCAGCTCCAGGTGTTTTCCAGCAAATTCCCTACACCTCTGCATCCAGCCAGAAAAGGCAAGCTGGGTGCTATTTTGGGATTAGATTCCTGTTCTTCTGGAATTGCACTCTTCTCCTGTCTGGTGACTATTGCTTTCTAGACAAAGACAGTGTAATCAGCAGCATTTTCTGCTTACACAATCCTAGAACACTTTTCTTCCTCCCCCTCCTCCTCCCATGGCTCTGTTGCAGCCCCCACCTGCACTAAATTACATTATCCCAGCCCTCTGCCTCCTTGAAGAAGCTGCCAGTAGCAATACCATAAAATCAGCAAATACCTATGTGCCAGAGAATATATTAAAGTCTGTTTAAACACATTTTTGTGTGACTTAATCTGTTTTTAAGCCCAGGACTCCCACTAATGCTATATATTAAACCTCTTTGCTGTCTCCAGAATGTATTTCATTGACTGGCTGGCATCTGGCATTAGCCATTCAGGAAAAACTCAGAGTAAGCAATTGTAGCTTTTTTAGGTCAGCACTTAAGGTGCAGGAGCTGCTGGTATCAGCAAGAGGGAGAACTGGAATCCTGATAGATCACAGAGCTTTTTTCTGTGACCTGAACACCAGGACTGCAGGGTGACCTCTTCCCAGGTCTGCATGGCTCACTGCACAGCAGCACAGGGAAAACCAGGAGCATTAGTCACACTGGGCAGTTACCAGCCTAACTGAGAAGCTGGAAATATTTTGCAAAAGCCAGGGGAAAAGAATTTTTCTCCCCCCTAATGAGAAGCTTGCAGGTTCCCTTTCAAAGCCACATCATGCAGTAACATCCAGAGGAGGCATCTGATTTGAAGGCAAATGCCTTTTACTGAAAAGACCTGTCAGGTTTCTGCTTTACAAAAAAAGAAAATGCTGAATTCATTAATTATTCTGAGAAACGTGGCAGAGGATTAGAGGATGTGCATGTTCCCATATTAGTTTTTGAGACACTTCAGCCTCATGTCCATGCACAGAATCTGCTGTCACAGAGATCAGTATTGAATCATACAAATCACTCTGAACTGAACAAATGGAAAATAAGCCAGGGAGAAGTGAAGCTACCACTGAGATTCTCAGTATTTGAATATGAAACACTGCCTGACTAGAGAGGGAAATGATCGAAGAGGCTCTCGTGCTTAGCAGAGCTGTTCTCCCTTCCCAACCGGCAGCAGCCTGATGGGTGGGACCGGGAGGAGGCAGAGGAGGAGATTTGCAGCAAGGTATGGCCTGCCTGTGGCTCATCAGCGCAGCTCTCAGCTCCTAATTCAGAGGGAAGGGCACCCCCAGCCTTGCTGGGGAGTAAAAATAGCTCCGCAGTCAGCAAAGTTGGAGCTGCATCTCTGCCTGCTGCTGCCGGTGGGAGCTGCTGGAAGAGCTTTCTGACGATATTGTGTCAACAAAGCACCATCTAGTGGTGATGGCAGCAGGGCTCCCTGCCTGCCCAGAGTGTCCCCTGCACGCCCAGAGTGTCACCTGCCTGCCCAGAGTGTCACCTGCACACCCAGAGTGTCCCCTGCCCGCCCAGATCACTGCCCAGCTGTGCCAACATCACTGCCCAGCTGTGCCCAGCTCCCTGCCAAACTCTTCCCAGCTTCTTTCCAGACCTTTCCCAGTTCTCTGCCAGGCTTTGCCCAGTGCCACGTCTTTCCCAGATCACTGTCAAGCTATGCCCAGATCTCCACCAGGCTCATTGCCAGGCCTTGCCCAAATCTCCACCAGGCTTTGCCCAGCTCATTGCCAGGTCTTGCCCAACTCACCACAGCAAGGTCCCAAAACAGCTCCAGAGCCACACCACATATGTTGTTTTTTTCACTGCAGACAGAGCACAGTGAAAAGATTCAGCAGAACTGGTTCCTGCAGCCTTGACTCAAACCTTTGCCCTGCTCGAGGAAAGACAACAGCTTGGGATATGCACCCCAGTTCCTTCAGTCACTGCTGTTGTCTCACTTAATGTGTTGTTCCTACTTAATGTGAGGCTGAGGCCAGTGCTGGGGGTGGTAAGGCAGGTCCACATAGACCCACCCCAGGAGCAACCACAGGCAGGAGCAGTTGCTCTTGGGGTCCTGCTTGGGGTCCAGATCTGCTCAGTGATACAGATGAGCTGAGCCAACATGAGCTGATAGAGCCTTTTCTCCCCTTAGCCCATCCTCCTCTCAGTCTTGAAGCAAAAGTCCACATAACCTGCAAAATAGAGTTCTAGGCAGCCAGAGGATTTCCCAAATCCCAGGGACCCATTTGGGTGGACCAGCCTGGATTCTCACCTTCTTGCCACCCTGCTCAGGTGTGACAGCACTGCCAGAGTTCTGGGCTGAGCAAAAAGGACATGCTGCCATTCCTCAGGGATCTGTGCCAGGGTCAGATCCTGCCCTGCACATTATTTGGTGTTTAAACCTGGGAGGTACCAGCTCCTAAAGCCTCCCAAGTGCTGAGGATATCGTTGGTTATAGCAAACTGCTAATAAATGCTCTCCCTAGTGGCAGGGATGTAGTCAGCACGTCCCTCACCGTGCCTTGTCCCTGAGCTCAGTGCCCAGGGCTGGTGGCTGGCGAGCTGTGGCGCAGGACTGTAGATGGAAGGTGCCTCTGAAGCCTTTCAGAGTGATCTGTTAGAAAGTGCTGTGTCCCCTCCTCACACCAGCATCATGTCACATGCCCAGGCTTACAGTGCCCACACCCCTTTGAAAGCCTGGCATTGCCCTGCTTCAGGGCTGAACCCCCAGGTGTGACACTGGGTGGATGTCTGTTATTTGCTTTCTTGCTGTGTGGTTGGCAGCTGAGACTTTGAAGCTGGTTAGCAAGTGATGGATGATGGCATCTGACAGGCAAAGCTGATGGGAGTCATGTTTTCCAGTAGGTGCATTTATCTGGCAGGGCAGAGATGCCCTGTGCTGCAACTGGTTTCTTTACTGTGCCAAAGGAAGAAAAGAGCAGGATTAAAGGACTCACTGGAATCCTGCTTATGTAATTAAAACAAATAGGAATCCTGACTTCCAATAAAGAAACTTCATAAATACCTGAGTTTATGTTGGAGCGTAAAGTAGTTCGTCAGCATCAAAACTGTGGCTGTCAGCATGGAGGAGTTTAATTCTTCCTGGCAAGGACTTTAGAGTCACTAACAGCATGTCCTAGACCAGTGTGAACTGCAAGAACAAGCAGTTAGTTCCAACCCATTTCTTTATCTGCACGAAGTGTTTCACTCCAGCCTTAGCATGCCCAGGAGAAATCAATGTTTGATTTCCAAAACCATTCATGCAGCCGTCGACCTTCACTTGCTCCCTCCTGTTACAAGCCTTCTCTTGGCTTTGCCTTGTGAAATAGTCATTTGGGTGAGAAAACCCCCCTGGTCTCACCTGACTCAGAACTGATTTGCTGCATATCCTGTAGCTCTGGGCTTTATCTGATGAGCTTTGAAGCAGTGCCCTACCCAAAGGCACGTAGGAAGCTGAAGGTACACTGTGGTAAGTTACCTTTCTGCTGCTGGTTGTTGCAGAACCACCTTCAAGGGACTTGGAGTAAGGCTGTGCCTGCTCCAGTTGAGTCGTTAGGCTTGTCAGCTGTGTTTGTAAGCCTGGTTGTGATGTGTGGGCTGCCTGACAGAGCTCCTTGGGTGCTGTGTGGAGAATGTTGCCAATGGTGACTCAGGAAGCACATACAGAGACCTGGGTTGCTCTGCTTGGTGGCACCCACTGGGGTGGGTACACCCAGACTGTACAGGCTTGTCGTGAGCATTAGGAATCTCCTGTCAGTCTGGCACAGGTCTCCAGAGGGGTGCTGGATTTCCATCATCTTAAAGGTTTTCAGGATCTGACTGGATGAAACCAGACCTGACCTAAGGATGAATAGCAATCCTGCTGCAAGCAGAAGGGGGGACTAGGGACCCCTTCCACCACTCCAGTGTCATTCTCTGATTGTCCCTGTGTTTCTTGCAGGAAGAAGAAGGTGAGGATGCAGATATCTCTTCTGGTCCCTCAGTCTTGAGCCACAAGATGCCTTCTGCCCAGGCCTTCCACCACTTTGCTCCTCGTTATGCTGAGATGGGCTGTGCTGGGATGCAGATGAGAGATGCCCATGAAGAAAACCCCGAAAGCATCCTGGATGAACATGTGCAGCGTGTGATGAAAACTCCAGGCTGCCAATCTCCAGGACCTGGCCGTCACTCTCCTAAGCCACGCTCCCCAGAAAGCGGCCACTTAGGAAAGCTGTCAGGGACACTAGGAACAATTCCTCCAGGGCATGGCAAGCACGCAACAAAATCAGGAATGAAACTGGATGCAGCTAACTTATACCACCATAAACATGTCTACCACCACATCCATCACCACAGCATGATGAAACCAAAAGAGCAGATCGAGGCTGAGGCCACGCAGCGAGTGCAGAACAGCTTTGCTTGGAATGTAGATTCACATAACTATGCAACAAAGTCACGAAACTACAGTGAAAACTTGGGCATGGCCCCTGTCCCCATGGACTCTTTAGGCTACAGGTGAGTCAAGGAACACCAAGGATTCCCAAAGCTGTGGCTTCTCTAGGAAGCTCTTCCATAAACAGGCAGTATCATGTCAGGGAAACAGCAGTTGAACCTTTTCTTGTGAGAGTTTATGCTGGGATGTCATTTGAGGGCTGTCCTCTTTCAGAAATGGATAAGCCCTGATAACCTTTATAGAGTCCTTTTTGTCTCTGTGATCTGGTGCAGAAAGATACTCTCTAATCAGGATTTTTATTGGCCTTGGTTATGAAATAGATTTTCTGCTCTTTAAAGCAGTGGAAATACTTAGAAATTGCAGTGCTGGTCTACTTCTCCATGCATCAGGAGCTGGATGTTGGGGCTGTGTCTTAAGGTCTGGGTAATAGAAACAGGTCTCTTAAGGTGTTTATGAGAAGGCAAAAAAAACACTTTATTTGTTGCAAGGCTGAACCATTTACCAGAAGGGCTCCTTTCTCTTCCTAACAAAGCAATGGTCACTGCAGTGTTGCCCTTGCAGTCAGTCCCAAGGGGATGTTCTCCAGGGTAGGGCACCCTCTGCCCAGAAAAGCCATTTGGCTACATTACCAGGCTGATGTCCATCTTTTCTTGGCCATTTGACTTCCTCCATCCTTTCCATGCTACAGGGAGAAGGAGGAGCTCCTTTTCTGTGGTGGATTTTGCTGGTCCTGTTACTGGGTGGCTGCAAAGGTGGGAGTGCAGCTCAGGGCTGACCACGGTGAGGGATGGGGATGGAGCAGCCACAGGAGAAAGCTGTGCTCACCCTGAGTCACCCTGAGTGTCTGGCTCCCCAGGGCTGAGGCTTTGGGATGTTTCTTTGCAGTGTACAAGGGGTGGGACAGTTAGTGAAGGCAGGCTGGCTGGGTCTGCAGCAGTCAGGATCAGCTTTCTGGGGTGGCAGGAAGGAGGCAGAGTGCAGAGGCAGCCAAAGCAAACTGCTCTTCAGGAGGGAGAGGCACTTAAATCTACCATGTTTGTATGGGGAAAAGGTTGTTGCTTCAACAGAGATGAGCATGGTCATGCTGGGCCAACCCAAAGCCCTCTCTAGACACAAGACTTCCTTCCAGCAGCAGCTACAGCATGTATTTAATGAAATTTTTAAAGGACACACTCAGAGCTGTCCTTCCTCTGGCACAAACTCCCAGTTCCTGGCAGTCCCTGAATTAGAAGCTTCACAAGACAAGGATTTGCATCCAAATGGTCTTGTTTGGCAGCCAGCAGTCTCTTGTGGTGGCTTCTGTGACTCCTTGTTGAACCCAGCTGGTGTGCTGTTCCCCCAGCCCCCCATGACTGTGTCTGTGGGTCAATGACAACCTGCAGAAAACAGCATTATTTTGTTTGCACTGAACTTGATGCTGCAGAGTTGCATTTGATACCCAGTAGTCCTCATATTGGGAGAAGCAGAGAAGTTGTCATCTTGCCCTACCTTTGTAGATCTGCAGCAATTCCTCTCCAGGCTTTTTCCAAAAAAAAGAAAAAAAGAAAAAAAAATCAACAAAGTTATCCCTTGCAGTAAAGCAGGTGGATGATTAGGAAGGACAGTGGGAGTCTCATGGAAGGACAGGCCAGCATGGGGGAATTCTGCATGGCTTCCTGAGCATGGGGCTGCTTGGCTGGGCACGTGGCCATGTGTGCCATGGTGTTCCTGCAGGAGCCTTTGCTGCAGCCACAGGTGTGTTGGCTACTGCCAGGCATCCCTCTGGCTGTGCTGGTTGAGGTGGCAGCCCACCCTGCTAGGATGTGATCTTCCACCATGAGGTGAAGCCTCATTCATTTGAGGGTAAGAAGCAAACTCTGTGCATGGCAAGTCAGAGTTTGGGGTATCAGTGAATCTGAGGGTGATAGGAAGGACCCAGGTTTTGAGCAGTGGTCAGGCATGGAGAGACAGACAGTGGATAACCTCCTGCTCTGAGCAAGGAGCTGAGGATTTAACACAATGGCTCATTTGGCCAGAGGAGAGCCTCCCTCTCCCCACAGATTGTTGGGCAGAGAAGCTGCTGTGCCCAGGTAGTCCTACTCTTAACCTGAACTGTGGCACAGGTATTTTGAGCTTTGGTAGAGCAGGGGGCTGTGGAAAATGTCTGGAGATAGATGTGTCCATGTCTGGAGATAAATATGTCCATCCTCTGCCCCTCTGGTGGTTGGCAGCACTAATGTCCCAAGCTCTGTTCTTGCAGTGGGAAAGCAAGTCTGCTCTCAAAAAGGAATGTGAAGAAGACTGATTCAGGGAAAAGTGATGGTGCCAACTATGAGATGCCAGGATCTCCTGAAGACGTGGAGAAAAACCAGAAGATCCTTCAGTGGATCATAGAAGGAGAGAAGGAGATCAGCAGGCATAAGAAAACAAACCATGGGTAAGGGCTGGCAGAGGGAGGGGTAACCACACTCTTGTATTGCATCACCTGCACAAGGGAGATGTGTTAGCAGGCTGCCTTCCTCCCAGACATCTTGGGAAGGCAAGAATGCACCACACAAAGGTCTAGACCCTTAGGAGACTGAGGATTACACGGGGGCTATGAGGGCTGTTGTTTCTGAAGGATAACTCATGGCCATGGTAGGAGGTTGCAGCCCCAGAGGAAGCTCAGAAATTGCTGCCGTGGTTCCAAGGTGAGGACATCACCTCCAGGGGAGGGCATCCTGTGGGAGAATGCCACAAAAGATTGAGCTGCCCTTTTCCTGAGTTTATTTTTATGTATGGGATTGTTTGGAGCCCTCACACTTACCTGTGAGGTTTGTTTCAGGGTTGGGCTGCTCACCCTGATGTCTCAGGACTTGCTCAAAATCTTTAGATTTTGATGTTACACCCTTCTCCCTTGAAAGCCATGCTCTGAGGAGCTTCCCAGTGGTGCCTCTGTCCAGCAGCAGGTCCATCTGGGAATGACTGTGAGCATCTCAGTGGTCTGTGTCAAACCTTTGTGTTTGTGTGTAGCTCTTCAGGTGCTAAGAAGCAGCTGTCCCACGACATGGTCCGGCCCCTCTCCATCGAGCGACCTGTGACGGTGCACCCGTGGGTCAGCGCCCAGCTCCGAAACGTCGTCCAGCCTTCTCACCCCTTCATTCAAGATCCTACCATGCCCCCCAACCCAGCCCCCAACCCTCTCACCCAGCTGGAAGAAGCTCGCAGGAGGTTGGAAGAGGAAGAAAAAAGGGCTGGAAAACTCCCCCTTAAGCAAAGGTATGATGATAATGTCTGAGTGTGTGTGGGAGGGCTCGGAGAGACTGCTCTGAGGGATGTCCATGTCCTCTGCTTTGGTCTCCAGCATGCAGAGAGGTCAGAGAAATCTGCCTCAGTTCCTATTACATGGTGCTGCAAATGCCAAAACCCACCCTGAGGCTTTGGGCTTGTGATCTGTGGATGGAGAGGCTGGAGATGCTCCTGGCAGGGTGGGAAGGGGCTGGGCAGAGGGGAGCACATCTAGAAGGGGCATGGCTGGGAGAGCTCTCTCCCCTGGTGCTCTCTGTCTCTCCACTCATTCACAGTCACACAGTGACTTCAGAGCTTGGTGCAGGAGCAGAATTCATCAGGATGCAGCAGAATTAAGTGCAGAAGACAAATCTGTCTTTGCTCTTTATCTCCATCTTGCACAAGCTTCCAGCAAAGGCCGCTGTGTGCTGGAGCCCTCCTGCAGCAGCGCTGACTCTTCGTGGCCATATCCAAGTCACTGCATCCTTCTGTGACTCAGCTTAATGGCTGTTGCAGAGCTCATTTTCCTGCTCTGTCTTACCTTTCAGGGGACATCATTTGCAAGGCACATGGAGCTCTCTGGTGAAAATTGTTTTGGGAGTGCTGGATAATTACTGTTAACAGCTAAAAGCACTTTGTCCATTAAAAACCTTTCACAGTTCTCCAGCTTCCCTCTGAAAACTTGACACTTTGAGGTCTGACTTGTAGAAACACAAATGTAATTTAAAAAAGAAGCTCTTAATTGACAGGCTCCAGTTATTTTCACTTGCAATGACCACGTAGCAGATTTCTGTGTATTCATGTCAGAGCATTGATTGAAAGCCAGGTAATTAGAGGGCTTTCCCAAGCCAGGTTAAGCCAAGTTTATGTGATGTACCTTTCAGCGTGTGTAATTGGATAGGGTTTATTAGTAGAGTCATTTATAGCTGTACTAAATTCATGCACCTTCCTCAGAAATGTCTGTACACACTTTGAAAATAGCAGCCTGGGCTGTGCAATTAATATTCTGACAATAATTTGGCCTGTCTTTTAAGAGTGGCTTACAGAGGAAGCCCGTGGTGTGTGGTAGATGCCAGGCATGCCAGCAGCAGGATGGGCTGGGCAGTCCCAGTTCTGGGCTCCTCTGCTTCCACTGCCTCTCCATGAGGTCTGGCTCTTCTCCCAGTGATACAGGAATCCCCCAGCCCTCATGCCTGGAAAACCAGAGAGAAATTCACCAGTGGGGAGCTGCTTATGAAAAGTAGATGTGTCTGTGTCCAGTAGCAGGCAAAAATGGATGCAGTGGTCCCCAGGGAGCCAAAGATTTCTGGATGTTGAAATGTCTCTGCTGGATTTTGGTAGGATTGGGTGCTACAGGTGAAGCACACCTGAGCTGGCAGTTTTTAGAAAGCTCCTGCTCTGGTTAGCCCAGGAGCCTGCCTGGAAATAGATCCCACAGCTCAATGAGAACAAGGGTGAAAGTGAGAGAGGAGCTCCCATGAAAACACCATTTATTTCAGTCAGGAGCTTTGAAGAGCTCTGGGAAATTGGAGCCAGTGTCCCAGGTTTGTCAATAGCCTTGGGGAAGCTCAGAGAGGTGGAGGTGAGCCTGGAGGTGTCCTTGAGGCCCCAGTTGAGCTGGCTGTGGGTGGAGAGCATACTGTGCCAGCTTTCCACAGCCAGACTGGCCTTGCCAGCATGGTTATCCAGCTCTCCAGCCACTCCCCTCTGGCACAGCCCTTCCAGCAGTGGCCTTCCCCACCAAACTGCCCAATGCCAAGAGCCCTGCTCCCACCCCAGCACTGCCCCACTGTAAATCAATGAGGCACCTGCAGTGAGTGTGCTGGGAATTGTAAATATTCTTCCAGGAAAAGCATTTCTCTCCCTATTTCACAGCATTTGGAATGACCCTGATCTCTGAGATAGCAACCTGGCTGCTGCTGGCAAGCAATTCAGGATTGACCATCCAGTACTAATGACCTGCAGATCCAGCAGCACACCAGAGCCCAGCATTGGTGTCCCAGTGACTGTCAGGTTTTGCCATGGAGCTGTTTCCTGTAGCTCAGTCTCACATTTCACAGCCAGATTGAAGTAATTAATACCAGCTCCTCAGAGAAATGATTTTTTGCAAGCAGGGAGAACATTTAGCATAAGATCACTTTGGAATTAATTGTGTTGGCCTAAGACCGGCAGAGGAGCAGAGCTGGTAGCTGGGACGCCCGCTGAGGCAACATCTGCTGGGTGCATTTTGGGCTTTCCAAAGCAATCCAGCCCCAGGGCTGAGCTGGAGCAAGCTGGACACCTCTGCATCACAGCAAGGTTGGACTGGTGCTGCAAGCCAGCCTTGGCTTCCCTGTCCCAGCACGGGTGGGATGCCCAGCTGCGGGTCAGGACTGGGCTGCAGATGCAGTGAGGGGGATGAGTGCTGCTGTTTCCCTGCTGGGTGGTGTTTTGTGCTTGTGACAAACACAGCAATGGGAGGTGCTCTCAGGAGGGGCAGGGCGTGGCACCTGGCAGTATTTCTGGGTCACACTGACACCCAGGAGATGGGTGCAGGTGGCAGATTTAATGAGGCAGGGCTCAGAGTCGGTCTGAGGGCCTTTATGTGCAAGCCAAGGTCTCAGGAGATCTCTTGGCAATGACGAAAGTGGAGACAGTTGAGTTGTTTCATTCTCCAGAGAGGAGCTCTTGGAAAATTACATTTTCAGTGATTCCATATTCATCAGCTCTGCTTCAGCCTGCTGGAGGTCTATGGCTGCGGTTTGTGGGGGGTGTGAGTTCTGCTGACAGAATTAAAGCAACAGGAAAATCTTCTTGTGGTACATTGCTGATAAAAGGAAGACTGGGGAAAATGTGGGCCCTGTCTGGGAGGAAATGGGAGAGCTGGGTACCTGGGGCATGCAGGAGGCTGAGGTACTCAATGGCTTTTTTGCTTTGGTCTTCACCAGTGAGTGCTCCAACCACAGCACTTGAGTCACAGACAAAGGCAGGGACTGGGACAAAAAAGAATCACCCACAGTAGGAGATGAGGTTTGGGACCTGAAGGTGCACAGGTCCATGGGACCTGATGAAATCCATCCCACAGGGTCTGAGGGGCCTGGTGGATGAAATGTCTCAGCCACTATCTATCATATTTGAGAAGTCATGGCCATCTGGACAAGTTCCCACTGTCTGGAAAAGGGAAAGCATACCCCCCATTTTCAAAAAGGGAAAAAAGGGAGGTTTAGGGAACTAAAGGCCAGTTACTCTCCCCTCTTTGCCTGTCAAGATCATTTTTGGACATCATTTCAGGCATCATTTTCAGGGCACATCTCACCGGAGCCAGGCTGAGTACCTTCAGGGATGGCCTTTCAGGTGTGAAGTGCACAGCAGGAGGAAGGACACTCCCAGCCACTGGCACAGTTCCCCTCTTGCTTCTGCCACAGCAGAAGTCCTGTCCTCTCCATCTCCCCAGGCAAAGGAGAGCAGCAGCCCTGAGGAAGCAGCTCTGCTCCTGCTTCAGGCTCGTCACCGTGTCCCCAGGTCCCCAGACACACAGCAGCCCTCTCTTAGTCGTGACTTGTCTCTAGCAGGATTAAGAGAAGCTTAGGGATTTTGAGGTTTTCCAAACCCCTTCAATTAACTTCTGGCCCACAGGATTCACAGAATTTGCCTGAATTTATGACCCATTTTTCCTTTAAATGCCTCATATTTTTTTTTCCAAGGATGACTCAATTCCTTAATGTTTTTCTAGCTAAAGGGCATCCTGTATTTTGATACAGGGATGGGAGGGGCTCTGAGAGCTCTGCTGGCACCAGGAGCAGACCCTTGCCTCTCAGAATGCTGCATCTTCTCCAGAGCTCTCCCAGGCAGAACAGGCACCCGGAGGATTGTTCAGCTGAACTTTAGACCTCTCCTGCCTGCAGGAAGAGGTGCAAAGGCTGTGTCTGGTGTTGGTTTGCAGTGCCAGTGTTTATGTGGGCACACCATGAAAAGGTGCTCTGCCCGCCAGCCACTGTTTAAAGGTTAAGGTCAGAGTCATTTCCAAAACTGCGATTACCTCATGTGCTTGGCAGATTCTAAGGTTTTACAGCAACTTTCCAGTCATGTAAATACAAAATCGTCTTTTCTTTATCCAGTGTGCTTTTAAAACAATTTTTTTTAAAGCTGCCAAATGTGTTTTATGCGACTTTGAAAGGGGAGGCTGCCTCTGGCTCAGACCATGCATGCCAAGGTACCAATTTCTGTAGGCTGCTCCAATGTTTGTGCAGCGTTTTCGGCACCCCAGATGAAAGGCTCTGCAGAAGGGCAAAGTATCCTGAGCTGAATTATTGTTGCTTTTGTCTATCTCTGAAAATGGGGTGAGGGCTGGGTTGACAGTTTCAGTCTGGTGATGGCACCACATAGCTGAACCTGGTGTGTGGGCTGGAAGCAAAGATCAGACCAATATTCTGAAATCTGGAAAAACACAGGAGGTGTAAAAGTCACTGAGGTTTTGGGGATGGCAGCTGCCTTGGTGCCCTGCATGGACAGGACAGGCAGCAGAGGCTCCAGGACATGCTGTGCTGGGAGCTCCATCCCCTCAGACCTCCACGTACTCTGGGAGAGGTGCCCAGGGGAGCTGTGGGGTGCAGGAACATCCTGCCTGCAGATGTGGGCCACTGGAAAGTCTTGCTGGGCTCTTCTGGCCACAGTGGCAATAATCCCAAGCAGTCTGGGCAGTGCCTGCATGATCATGCCCTGTGGGATGGTGCTCCAGCCCTGTGTGCTGGTGTGCACCAGGAGCATGGGGAGATGGTGATGATGGTGACCTGGTTCAGCTGCCTTGGCCTGGGGTGCTCTGCCAGTAACTCCTCAAACCATGCTGTGAGGAAGGCTGAGTTAGAGCCTGCACCCTCCTTGTAGCTGTGTCCTGGCCTCATTCAGCCTTTCCAAATGCTCCCTGACCAATCTGGGTGCGTCTGCATACGGGGAGAGCTGCTGGTGGGAGCAAGTGATGCTCAGGGGCCACGCTGCGTTTCCACCAGCCCATGTGGGGAGCCCTGACCAGCCCCAAGCCCTGCCAGGTAGCCAGCTCGATGGTTCTGAGCCTCTGGGCTGGCACTGAGCAGGTCCCTTGTGTCTCTGCACAGCAGGTTGAAGCCCCAGAAGAGGCCGGGCAGCGGCGCGTCGCAGCCCTGCGAGAACATCGTGGTCGCGTATTACTTCTGCGGGGAGCCCATCCCCTACCGCACCCTCGTCAAGGGGCGCGTGGTGACGCTGGGACAGTTCAAGGAGCTGCTGACCAAGAAAGGGAACTACAGGTAAGGGCTGCTCCCCGCCTGCAGGGAGCTGCCAGCAGCTGTTGGTGAGCCCTGGCAGATGCCACTGCCAGGACACAGCGGCGTTGCCTCCACGCAGGGGAGGGTTGGTGGAGGTGGGTCAGGAGGGCTTCCTCAGGGCGTGCTGTGGTGGGGATGTGGCAGCACGGCCAGGGTGCCTTGGCTGGTGAAGAGGCAGGTTAGCAGGGGTGAGGAAGATGGGGTTTTGTAGCAGGAATGTCCTGCATCGTGGTTTGCAGTTCCAACAGGAGCTGCTGAGCTGCCCTGCAGGTTCCTGGGCAGGCACGGTCAGTGCTCAGTGATGCTGTGGGGAGTGTGGCCTCAGTTCCCTCTATGTCTGGGGGAGCAGCTTCCTGTGCTCCCCGAGCTCAGAGCCATGGAAGGGCTGCACCCAGTTTTGGGGACCATCGTGCCCTGTGACCATTCACCTGCTTTTTTTTCCCATCTCCCCCCTTCCACGTTTCTCTTTTTTTCAGGTATTACTTCAAGAAAGTGAGCGATGAGTTTGACTGTGGTGTGGTCTTCGAGGAGGTGCGGGAGGACGACACCATCCTGCCCATCTTCGAAGAAAAGATCATTGGGAAGGTGGAGAAGATTGATTAGGCTCCAGGACTGTGAAGGACTCTGGGACCGGAGGAGAAGGCCTGGGTGCTGCCCACCCTGGCCATGCTGCCACCACGGGCACCAGGCAAGCCCAGGGCAGAGGGCAGCAGCTCCGCTTTCCAGCACGGACCTGGGCAAGCTCCAGGATGCCGGTGGATGCCCTTTCACCCCACAAACCTGCCAGTGGGAGCCTGGGCTCCCTCTCCATACCGAATATAAGTGTAATGTAGCATTGTACAGTGCATTAGAAAGTGTAATATGACCTTGTTTACTAAAGCTGCATATTTTTGATATATTGTAATAAAAGGAAAATATTTCCAATGTCACAGTGCTCTTATGTAAATGTAAAACATACAGGTACTGCAGAACTCACCCAAAGTGTACAGCCATCCGTCAGACTCCAGCTGCTCCGCACTTTCCCGGCACCCTGCCCCATTTTCCCGGCATGGATGGCTCTGGAGCGCCAGGGGGTACAGCTGCCCTCACCCCACCAGCCTGGAAGGGGTGACCCCGCTCCAAAGGGGCTGTGAAGATCGTTGAGCCATTTGGAAGGAGTCATCTGTGGCCTCCTTGGCTGGCTCAGCTGCTGGACATGGTAGGATGGGTGTTTTTTTCTCCTCCTGAGCTTCCTTGCGACCGAGTAAATCCCCGAGGGATAGAAGGGTCAGTGCCTGTTGGGACTGGGGGCTTCCCACAGAGCCAGGGTGGCAGGTTGGGTGCTGGCATCCCACAGCCTGCACATTCCTGTGTCCCCATGGAGAAGGGGAACCTCCCAGGAAGGTGCTGCAGTTCTGCAGAGGGCTGGCTCCTGTGTGCCTGGTGCAGACATGCCCATACCCGTGACTCCTGCATCTTTTGTCAGCTTCTGTGTCTCAGGGGAGGCAGCAGGAGGGCGCTGCACCAGGAGGGGCGTTGATGCCAGTTTGTGGCTCATGCAGGGCCAGCAGGCAGCCCTGGGAAGCCTCCTGGGCTTACTCGGCCACAAGGAAGCTGGAGCTGTGCCGGTGCTCCCCCCATCCTGCTCTCAGCCAGCCCAGGCCCTGCTGCTCCAGCACAGCCACGGCTCTGTGCCAGCTCCTTTAGAGACCCCTTGCCCACCCACAGAAACAGGGGTGGCCCCAAAGCCCAGGGGATCCCCAGTGGTGCTGGCCCTGCTCAGAGCCATCCCCAGCCCCAGCAGTGGTGGAGCTGCCGGGAGCCCATGGCACCGCGCCGGGATCGACTCCGCCTGTTGTACATGTCACCCAGTGCCTTTAAAACACCGTTCTGGACTTGCCCAATACACTTTGTGAAGTCCAGCAAAATCTGCAAATGTTTTCAGCCCGGGAACAGTGTTACAAGGGGTTTTGCTCCTTGTTTTTTGAAGTTCTGATGGTGGTGTGTCTGGTGAGGTTGTTGGCGTGCCCGGGATTTCCGTCTCCCCCTTTTTTTTTCGGGGGTCCCTGTAAATATGTACAGCGGCCGTGCAGCCCCAGCATTTCCTCTGCATTCTCATGTGCTGACTTGTACAATGATCTTTTCAAAGGTACTTGGATAAAATTAAATAAAACCCCACATCCCACTGCCTGCTGCTTTTTTTCCTTCCCCGTGGAGCAGACCCAGGCCTCCAGCAGCCTCCTGGGGTGGACAGAGGATGGGGCGGGTCTGGGCACACGGCAGAGCTGGGGCTGCTCTGGGCTGCCCCAGGGAACCAACATGTTGCCCCTGAAGGAATGGCTCAGCAGAGAGGGGACAGTTGCCAGACAGTTGCTGGAGTTGCCAGAGTCTACAAGCCAGGCTGCTGTGCCTGTAGAACCCCGTGTTGCCTGCCTTGGCTGGGACAGCAGCTCCTGGGGATCCCCTGGGTCTGGTATGCACGAAGGAGAGACCCCAGCTAATCCCCCATCACCTGAACCCCACCAATGCAGCACGAGGGCCACCTGGAGAGCTCCTTGGCCACCTGGTGCCGTTGCAGGGTTGCCAGGATGAGTGCTATGGCACAGCTGCCCCGGGGGGACAGAGGCCCTGCTGTGTTCCCAAGACAGGTGGGTGCTCCCAGCACATGGAGACAGACACAGAGCAGAGCCCACATTGTTTCCAGGTGTTTTATAGCACACGCCTGAGTAGGACAGGGCTCACAACTCATCCCGGGATTCATCTGTCCGCGGCGCACTCGGATCCTCCTTGCCCGTGCTGTTTCCAGGGGTCTTGGTCACCTGGAGAAGGCAGCAGTGAGGCTTGGATGGACACACACTCCCTGCCTGACCCTGTCCCTGTCCCCATCCTGCAGGATCGATCCCCTCACCCAGCGGGGCCTGGGGACACCCCTGGTCAGGGGAGCTGTCCCCTGACCTCACTCACCGGAGGCTCCTCAGGCAGTGTCCCCCCGTTTTCCAGGAACTTGGAGAAGGTCTCCACATCTCGGGTGCTCTTGTACTCAACCATCTGGAGCCATGGGAGCAGAAGGTGCTGAGGGTGCCACCATCCCCCAGGTGCTGGTGACCCCACAAGTGCCCACACCAACCTTCCTGCCCGGCCCCGCGGGGAAGTAGTGCAGGGTGGGGAAGCCGTGGATGGTGATGTTCTCCAGCTCGTTGGCTGTGGAGTCCATCTCGGCGATAACGATGTCCTCGCGGTCCTTGTAGCGCTCGGCCAGCTCCTCCCAGGCAGCCGCCATGGCCTGGCAGTGGGGGCACCACGGCGCGTCTGTGGGGCGAGGGCATTGACAGGGGGTCTGTGACAGGGCTGGGGATGTCCTGGAGGGGCTGAGCCCCAAGGCAGAGCTCAGGGAGGGCCATGGGTGGTCCTGGCACTTACAGAACTTGACAAACACGTTCTTGGTCTCATCAAATGCCACCTGCTCAAAGGTCTTCCCCACCAGGACTTTAACGGGCCGCGTGTCCCAGTCCTCAGGGGGCTCCGCACTCAGCAGGTGAGGCTGTGGGGACAGTCAGGACAGTCACAGCCTGACTGATCAGTTCCAGAGGCCCGTGGGGCAGGGGGTATGTTCCTGTGCTGCCTTTTGGACCACATCTTCCCCTCTGCTGCTTCCCCCCATCCCAGCTCTGTGTGTCTCCATGCCAGCAGTCTCCTGCCTCCCTTGCCCGTAACAAATCCCCAGATCCTCAAGCCTGGCAGCAGGAGTATCAGTGGACAGGTCCTGGTGCTCACCACACGAGCATCATCCTTGGGTTTCTGAGCCAACAGCCCACCCCAGCACAGGGCAGAATCCATCGGTGTTGGCTGGCACCGTGCTGCACCCCTCACCTTCACCTTGCCATCCAGCACCGCCTGGATGAAGGTGCGAATGGCGGAATCCGAGAAATTGTCCTGCTCCATCTGGTACTTGCGATTGTTCTCCATCTTCACCAGGCGCAGGGTGGGGGCGTCAGCAGCGGTCATGCCGAAGAAGGGCAGGACGTCGGCGCCGTGCCCGGCTACATCCACCACCACAAAGAGCACCTGGGCAGGGAATGGGGGACGCTGAGGCTGGGGAATCCCAAAGCCACCCTCCCTGTCCCTGCCATGGGGCCACCTCACCTCACCCCGGAAGCCACCGGCAGCTGCCCTGAAGCCGTCCCGCAGCGACAGCTGCTCGGGTGAGGACTTGTTGAGGAAGAGCAGCATGTGATGGGGGATCTTTGCACCAAAGATCTCGCTGGATGTCTGGGGAGGAGGAGGAGGATGAGGGCAGGGCAGCCATGGCTCTCACAGACAGTGACAGGGCTGGGGATGGGCTGTACCTCGTTGGTGAACTCCATCACCAGCTGCAGGCTGTGGACACGGAGCAGCCGGGTGAGCTCGGCCATGTCCAGCCCCCGTGCAGGGTCCACAGGGAAGTTTGTCTGTCTCTCGTCAAACTGCCAGGGCAGGGGCCTGTGAGGGCTGAGGGGAGGACAGGATGGCCCCACCACTCCCCTGCCACCCCCCTCACCTTCTTAAACAGGCAGATGGTGTCAGCTGACAGCCCATATGCCTGGAAGAGCTCAGCTGCCTCTGCCACGCCAAATGTCATGTCCACCGTGTCAGCAGCCACCTCGAGGAACACCTGGGCCGCCTCACCCCTCAGGTCCTGCACAGCCACCCGTCAGCACCACAGCCACAGCCACGGCCGTGGTCCAGCCCCGACCCGTCCCAGCCCACCTCGAAGAAGCCAATGACCACCAAGTCCTGGGAGTCGATGAAGGCGGCAGTGGTGTCGGTGTCCTGCAGCAGCGTGGCGCTGGGGCCGGCCCGGCGCTGCATCCAGCGCACGATGCCCTGGCTGTCCATGCGGCCTGGCACACAGACGTCACCTGACATCCCCTCTCCAGGCTGCCACCCCTCCCTGTGCCACCAACCTCAGCCACCCGCCAGCAGCACTGCCCACCATCATCACCTCATACATCCCACTGTCACCTGTCTATTGTCACCGGGACGTTGCCACCCCTCTCACCATCACCACCCTGTGACCCCCACAGTGTCAGGACAGTGCCAGCCTCGACCATCAGCCCCTGCCACCCGTCCCAGCCCCACGGCAGTGTCCCCTCGATGGGTGCCGGGGACACTGCCGCAGCCCTACCGGTGTATGCCAGGGGGTGGGTGCGGTTGCCATCACGGAAGAGCTTGAGCGTGGGGTAGGAGGTGATGCCAAACTCAGTGGCCAGGGCTGTCTGTGCCATGGCATCCACCTTCCCCAGCCGGGCTGGGCTGGACTCATTCCTCAGCTCGGTGGCTGCCTGGGCAAAGGCGGGAGCCAGCCGCTGGCAGTGCCCGCACCACGGCGCGTCTGTGGGTAAGGGACAGCACTGATAAAGGGGACAGGTGTGGAGACAGCCCACTGGGCCCCAGATTGTGCCCTTCCCACACCCACACCGTGTGTCCCTGTCCTGTGTCCCACTGCCGTGCTACACACCCTTCACACCATGCTCTGCCTGTGTCCCTGCTCCGTGTGTCCCCGCTCCGTGTGTCTGTCCCCATCCCGTGCCCTGTCACATGGCCTGTGCTCTCCCCACTCTGTCCCACAGCCTTGCCCCTGCCCACACCACCACCCTCCCTCCTGTGCTGTGTCCATGTACGTGTGTTCTGCCCACACTCAGCCAATATTCCCTACCCCACCCTGCCCCTGCCCACGGCCCTGCCCGCACTGGGGGCACTCACAGAACTCCACCAGCAGCAGCTGGTGCTCACTCAGGGCACGGGCAAAGTTGTGCTCATGGAGCACCAGGACATTGTCCTCTTCCTTGATCTCATCTGAGAGCACTTCATCCTCTTTCTTCTCCTTTTCCTCCTCTTCTATCACCTCTTCATCCTTATCCTGGCCCCCCAAAGCCGGGCCCAGCCAGGCCAGCGACAGCACCAGCAGCCAGAGCAGCCGGGACCCGCAGCCGCGCATGGTGCCGGCGCTGAAGATGTTGTCCAGGGAGGAGGACGAAGATAAGGGACCTGGGGGCGGGTTGTGCCGGTGCCCTGGGGCTCGTGGCCCTCCGCTACTGGCTGCCCGGCCCCGCCGATAAGGCAGCGGGAGCAGGTGCCTGTTTTCCAGGCGCTCCAGGGAGACCTGGCCCCGCCAGCGGGATGGGGACACGGCCGGGGGGGACAGGGAGCGGGGGGACAGGCACAGGCGGTGGGGGCACAGACACACCAGTAAGAGACCAGTCTGTAGGGTTTAATGGCGATGGAAGAGCACAGCCTGCGACCGGGCGGGTACCGGACACGGCACCACCACGGCAGGGTCACACCCCCGGCCCCAGCGATGGGGACGCCGTGAGGACCAGGCGGGCGTCGATATTTAAAAAAAAACAGCAATTAAAAATAACTTTGGTTGCGAAGACCACGACCACGGGCTCTCACTCGCTAAGGGACCCCCCTCAACCCTTCACGCGACTGGGGCAAGCGCGGCGGTGCCGGCGAGGGGTCCCCGGGATGGCGGCACCGCGTCCCCGAGCTGGCGGGGGGAGCCGGGGTGCGGGGGCGGGCTCAGTCCTCCCAAGCCTTCTTTATGCAGAGGCCCCACTCCCAGGAGAGGTGCTCCGTCTTGTCATCGTCGGTGACGAGGGAGCGGACGCGGTAGGAGCCCCGTGCCAGCCATCCCCGCGGCGCCTCCTCCGCCGGCGTCACCACCTCGTACTCCTCGGCCCGCGGCGCGTAGCTGCCCACCATGAAAACATCGCGATCCACTGGGCGAAGAGGGGACAGGAGGGACGGGTGAGCGGGGCCAGGAGAGCCCGGGGGCCCCCCAGCCCCCGCCAGCCCCCAGCCCCACTCACCGGGCCGGCCCCGGCGGTAGGTGAGGTGCAGGCACCGCAGCCCGCAGACGATCTCCCTGTTCACCTGCGGGGAGAAGGCAGGGGGGACTTGGGGAGTGTCCCGTGCCACGGGGACCCCTGGCATCCACCTCTTCCACCCCCTGTCAGAATTCAGCATCATCAAAGGTGGCAGGGACTCCAGGGTGGCAGGGATCCCCCTCAGGAGGGGCAGGGACCTCTAGGAAACCCTGGGACAGCCAGCATTGCTGGGATCTCCAGGAGAAGCGAGGACTCTGGGGTGGCAGGAACCATGCTGTGGCAGTCACACTGGGGACAGCAAGGACCCCCAGGGTGG